GCTCCTAACTGTCGAATACGAAGTTTTCGTTGCGTTGCAATGTAAATGAGACTCTAATCAAATGGCTAAATAACCCATTATGCATTATTATCGCGTAACTTCGTTACAATACTGTATCATGTCAAATTCTATTAAATCTAATCTCATTTGATATATGCCAAAGAATATCATTTCCAATCAATTATGTTATTATACGTATATCATATTGTATATGTTTAAATATTTATAAGACACGCTTGAATTGATCGTAAGAACACGGAAAATACGACGATGTGAATTGCACATCCATGATAGATAGAAATATTTAACGAAACGACCTACAAACCTGCACGTGCTACACGTGATACACGTTGTAAAGCAAGTATATTATCTAGTAACTGAAAGGTATATTACTACTTGATGTCGAGGAAACAACTTGCCAAGATGTCGGTTGTTTTCAATGAAAGTTATAGACGATCGAATTAACTAACGAATTAATTTCTTGTTTTAATGTATTTCTTTTTAATAACGAAGTAATCAACACGAAACAACAATAATAGAAGAAATTTAATTTAATTTTTTCTCAACTCACCTCTTTCGTTTGATTTTAAAAAAAAAAAAACAAGATATATATATATAATATATTCCTCGTTAACGAAACGTCACGATCGCGAAAAAAAGAACTAGTCGAACTCGATTCAGTTCTCGAACACGACTGTTGCTGACTCGTCAGAAAGTTTGGAAATTGTAGCTTCCGGCATTGGTGTGTCGTCGTCGTCGTCGTCGTTCTTGTTATCAGTGAAAGTAACTCCATTAAAAATACGCCTGTAAACGACTCTGACTGGTAAACGAGGAATCGAGCAAATCGTTGCTGTTGATCACACTACACCGACGCAAGGTGCCATCGAGACAACACACAAGCAACCTGCTCCGACAGCTTTCCATTTCCATTGACAACGATTTTACTTTCGGCAAGTTTAACAGATTTTATGCTCCAATTAGCAAGAAGGTTGATAAATTAAAAGCTAACTTAAATATTATAATCGAAGTATCCTACTGTTGAACTAATTCTATACGTTGTTAATAAACCTTTCTTTATCGAGATTTTGAAAGAATTTTATTGATGATTATTGTTCGAACAAACGAAAAACAGATGGAACACGCATACAAAATTGAAAAATATTAAATTTATTTACTATAAATATTAAGTATTGCAGAGATAAGATTTAAAGTAACGATTATCATGAATTTTAGTGTTCATATACAAACAAGATTTTGGATTCTTAATAATCATAATGAATTATAAAATATTTACTCGAGATAAAGATGTTCTAGTTCCTCATCGATGCTCGAAATATCGTCGAACGAGTTGTAGATAAAACTCTCCGTTGCCTGCTGCATTTCTTTTGTATAAAAGTTGTTTCTGAAATATACAAAGGTAAAAATTGTCGATGATAAAAACAAATTCTCACTCGTAAGAAAGAAATTTCATTAAATTTTACCAAATGAACGTATCTAAGTCGATATTTGTTATTTTTTTGTTTGCTTTATATTGCTAAAAGAATCATGCTTCTATTAGGATTAGTAAAAAAGGAAATAATTTGACCGATTAAACGCCGACGTATGATAAGATTCACGCGAGTATCTCGTAAAACGTAACAGTCTCGTCATCCACCCTTCTAAGTTTAGATCTTACATAATAGGCTTGGCTACGGTTTTAACTGACTTTAATTGGTAGTCCCATTGTTTTTTCTTAACCGGATGCTCGCCTTTCTCGGGAGAGGGGAATAAATAAAAAAAACTATAAAAGATAATTCGTATGGTAAGATAAAAAATAGAAAAAGAAGAGAAGAGTAAAGAAGATGAGAGGATCCTTGAAAGATAAGAAAAACAAATCAAAAGATAAATGGGAGAAGCATCGATCTTCACAATGCTCGTTTTATTCTTATCGCTATACCATAAAGTCCTTGAAATTATTTATAATACGTATTATAATCCTACAACGCCATTTGGAAATGTGTATCAAAGAAATATTACAATTTTGATGTCGATGTAATTTAATGTTAAAGTATTTAAAACGTTGTAACGTGAAATCATTCCTTCGAACGTTTAACTTCTAACGAGATTCCAATAAGATGGCTGATGTGAGATACGTTAGAGGAGAAGAAGAACTTTATAGGGTAGTCGATAATCCAGTCATGGAGAAAGAGAGAGAGAGAGAGAGAGAAAGAGAGAGTATACCTTCATGGTTACAACGAAGGCCATTGCACTCTCTGACGATATTCCTTACTTCTCTTTCTTTATTTATTTTTTTATTTTCTTTTCTTTTTCGTTCCAATGTAAATTTGTATTCGTTCGTGTATATAGAGTTCGATGACCCGGTAAAAAATGACAAAGAAAAAAAAAATAAAAGGAAGTCGATGTTAAAGGTAAGAAACGACTTATTCGGCGATACAACTTCTTCCGGTAATTGTAAACTCTTTTCCTGATCCTCTGACTCGTTCTTTTTTTTTTTTCTTTTTTGATTAAGTAACCCAAAAGATATAAACAAGTGATCCAGTTTTTGTCAGAATTACGCGTCACGCTAATGAAAGTTTTCTAAATGAGACATTTGTCTTCGATCTTGAGAAAAAAAAATGGTAATGTGAGATTTCATTTTATATAAGATATCAATTCATTGTTATTTCATGAGAACATTCATTTAATCGTAATTTTGAATAAGTCATACGATCTTTTTATGACTTATCTTTAATTATTTCGTTATCGGTTATCATTATTTTTCGAATATGTCTATCTGTTTTATTTGGAAATCCGATAATAGTGATAAATCTTAACTACACCAACTATACTTATAAATTTCAACGCTCAACAGTTTAAATTTCGTCACGAAAGGAAGATAAAAAATACGAAAATAATAAATTTAATTAACAAAAAAAACCGGTTTATATAATTCTCGTTTTCGATATTTAAATTATTGATATTTATGAGAAAAATATTCAAGGGTAAAATTTCGTTCGCGATAGCATTAACGCGATTATTATTTTTCTATCGTTTTATATAATAATAAATTGAAAAAGTTAAAAGATAGGCATCGCGATCATGTTGAATTTTTCATCCAAATTTGATGTTTACTCGTTGACATTAATTGAAAATCGATGTCGTTTGCCTGCCTCTCTCTCTCTCTCTCTCTCTCACACTTTCTCTCTCTCTCTCTCTTTCTTCATTTCTCTTTCTTTTTCTACGGTACGTTTAACTGGCGCCATTCGTTTCGAACGACCGTCTGTTAAAAAGAAAATTATGCTCGACTGACTTTTTCCACTTTTTCCCCTCTCCCCAATCATTTCCAGGAAACGAACAAATAAGATATAACATTAGCATAATCTATATTTACATTTACAAAATATCAAATATCGTCAATTAAAAAAGACAACAAATTATAATAAATCAAATTTCAATATTTTTTCAAAATAATTTCTTCGAATCATTTTAAATTGCAGTTACGATGGTGCATGCACAAATTGCAAGTACTTGCAATTCAATTGAAAATTACTTACTCCTCGTTAGTTAGGAGATGAGTACTACGTCCCAAAAGGTTTTATATGCTCTGGAACGTCCGACGTTTTATCCGACAATCCAAACGATTGCACTAACAATGCGAAAAAAGGAGACTTGTGTCTGCCCACGTCGACGAGGGCTCTTTCTGTCACTTTAGTTAGTCCATTACTACATTAACGAGTTACTCTTCATACAGCTTTATACCACTGACACTCACCGATAAGACATTTTTCTCATTGTCAGTGATAGAAACAATTTCTGCTTACCGACACTGCCATACTCGTTCTCGCTTATACGAATCGTCTACCAATTTTCTTTCGTTGACATTTAATTTACTTTTACAATTTTCTTTTTTACTCAACCTGACAGTCGTTATTTTCATGTAAAGTGGTATTAAAGTCTCTTAAACGGCTGTATATTCTTTAACATATTCTTTGTTCATTTTGATGACCAAAGTCTCGTTCAAAAAGATGAAGGTTCAAATGTTTTTCTCCTATATTTCGAATTATCGTGTATTAATTATTCTTTAACATATAGTATTTTTTTAAACATTCTTTTTAACACGAACTTTGACGCATGACAGGAGGGAGGACACTGTTCATATTTTAATTCATATTTCGTTCGTACAAAAGTTATTTTCAATAACTTGCGTTATTCAAATCTAATAAAATCCGTGAATAATAATTTTAGAAACTTGAAATGAACAATTTTTTATACACGTTATGTTTGATTAATGAATTTATATAATCATCGTCAACCATAATCGCAAAGTGAAAGGTATAACAATATGAATATGTAAAACATTGCTGTCCTCGCTCCGATTAGCTTTTTATTAAGACATTTCTTTCGTGTGTCATGCTCCAACGAATATAGATTATAATCTGTAAGATCTCTATCACGAGAATACATCAAAATATTTTCTGAAGTATCACGTATATGTATACAAATTTGAAAAAATTGTTATTCAATTACAATTTTCTATCTTCCTTCCTTTCTCTTTACATTTACCACTGGTTGAGTGTTAAACGACATAAGCAGTTTTCTTACTTTGGTAATTCTGATGGTGAGACAGTATAAAATCTCAGTCGATAAAACAGATGAAATCGTGGTCGGTAAGACAGAGTACCGACAATAAAAATTTCACTGCAGAAAGAAAACAATCATTGCAGGTAATAGCAAACTATTTATTCGTAAAAAATCAATAATTGCTTGTTTTATTTTCGTAGTTTTTTTATGTAAGTGACTATGATAGCAAGACAGTTAAAAATTACGGTCGGTAAGGAAGACGAAATTTCAGTCGGCCAAACAGAGTACCAAAAATAAAAAAATTTTTATCGCATTAAGAAAATAATTATTGTCGGTACTCTGTCTTACCGACCACAATTTCATCTGTTTTATCGACTGAGATTTTATACTGTCTTACCATCATATACTATTTATTTGTTTCTTACTCTGGATTTCCTCAGTAGATGGCATTCTCGTTGTATTTTCTGAGCGGTTCCTTTTTCTGGTGACACGTGCATGTGCGTTATTTAGTGTAATTAAAATATAAATATTTACCAAGATTGTGATATTTAATATTCTAATTAAGTGTTAAAGGTAAGAAAATGATTATTATTTATTGCTTATTTATAATAAAAGATTCAAATACAGTTGAGATTTTCGAGACTTTATTCTTTTATGAGAGGTTATATTTTATACATTATTTTTTTACACAATATTATTTGCACATTTTATTTATAATCTATACATTGTATTACCACTTATTTCATTAATTTATATTTCTTTTTAGGTATCGATACGATGGCTAAATCATTACGCAGCAAGTGGAAAAGAAAATGTAGAGCAATCAAAAGAGAACGTTATGGTGCTAAAGAACTGGCAAAATTAAAGAAAACTCTTGGTATCGATGAGAGTGGGGATGTCGAAATGTCAGAAATTACGGAGATTGCTACAGGCATATAAAACATTATTTTTTCATATATTATTTCCTTATATTTAACATAAATTATAAAATACAATATTTTTCGTAGTGGTTGGTGCCCATGACATCAAGGAGAGTGCTAAAGCGAAGAAAAATGATAATGCTGATACAGAAGAAATGGAAGTGGATACTGGTAGAGTATACGATAAAAAAACATTAAGAGATCAATACGGAAACTATCCAGTTTGGATGAATAGGCGAAAAATATTGAAGCATAAAAAGGGTAGAGCAAAAGCTGCTAAAGGTACTACCAAAACAAGTAAAAGATTAACTAGGCGACAAAAAAAAGCACTTAAAGAAAATAAGTAAAGAGGGCTGTAAGTTGATAATTAAAAAGATATTTTACAACATCTAATCGTATTATAAATATATAAATGAATTCTTTCGTTAACACTTTGACTGCCATGTTGATCGTTTATGACCAGCCATGGTTTCTTCTGTGATGCCACGGTGACCATTGGTAACCGGAGCACTTGAACTTTTTACAATTGTAAAAATTGAATGAAAATTTACAGTTAGTGCATTTTGAATATCACCGCTAATTAAAATATACTTTGAAATAAAATGTGCGCCATTGAATTATTACAAATTTTTATTGAAACGTCGAAAGACTAATTTCTATGAAATCTTCAATAATAAAAATACTACCATGACCTCCTGAGCGAAACATATGGCAGTCAAAGTATGCTGTAATGAAAGGGTTAATACTAATTGATAAGGAAAAAAAACATTCTTACATTTAGTTTATATTATAGTTTTTATTATAAAGCGGCGTACAAAAATTCGTAAAATAATATTTAAATTACATACAAACTATGTTCTAACTAAGGTATAAATGCTAAAGTGGCAGTGACACCGGTACATCATATTTTCATCTAAGAGAAATTCATGCAAATGCAATAACAATACAATCATGAATCCTTTTACGACAGTCTATTTAATATAAGTTTTTAAATTTATGGATCTATTGTTAAGGAAGGTCTGCAATGTGTTCTTAGTCTATTTTCTAAATCTGTCACACGATTCGTTAAATGTTGTACCTTCCTCGCCTCTAACTCGTAATGCTTCATCTTACTTCTCATGTCATATATCTCTTGTTGCATCAATTGCTGAAATGATGTTTCAAAGTTTCTTCTTTAATATTTTACGTAGATATTGTAATTTTCATGTACGTTATGTTATAATTCCTTGTAATCTTACCACATTCTCAACAGCTCTTCTCATATCGTTTATACTTTCAACAGCCATAATAATTTTTGCGCTCATATCCGTAGATTCGGTTTCTCTTTTTTTATTTTTGGCTATTTGCTAAAAAGTAAAAAATTTTGTTTAGTAATTATCATTGATAAGTTCTGGTCTCTAACACTTTGACTGCCACTTTGGTCATTGGTGACCGGAGCACTTGAGCTTTTTACAATTGTAAAAGTTAAATGAAAATTTACAGTTAGCGCATTTGGAACATCACTGCTAATTAGAATATACTTTGAAATGAAAATGAAAAATTAATTTCGGCGTGACAGTCAAAGTGTTAAACGTAATTAGGAAATTGAGAAAGATTGATATTCAATTAAAAAAGAAAAAGAAAAAAAACCAATGTTACAACGATGACCATACTTTTTCAAGTTTAGTTAGTCTCCTCATGATGATTTCATAGTCCTGATCGAGGTCAACATCCCCCACTTTGTTATCTACATCTACAAAAAGAAAGTGAAAATCGCATTTAGAGAGAGGACACGTCATTATTTGTTGATTCCAAACGATGATGAGAGGACAGGAAGAACGTAAAGTTGCGGCTGGATATTTTTAACTTATCTCTGAGAAGCACTCACTCTCTTTAAATAAATATATATATACGTACCGTGAGAGGAGGTGGTAGTTGGTTTTCTTGTGGTACTCGTTGTCGTCGTGGTCGACGTCGACGTCAACGATTCATGGAAGTCGTTCTCTAGATCTCGAGCCTCGAAAGCCGTGTCCTCGGTGTCTAGAAAATTATACGTAAAGCGTTTACCAACTTGATAAAAGGTCAAGAAAGAATTCGTGCTGTGTTATAAAAACTAACTCTTTATGAAAACTTACCGTTTCTACGACAGGATTGTCCATCTTGTTGAAGATGAAAACCGGGTCTGCAGTAACACTCGTAGCTACCGGGTAAGTTTCTGCAAAGTTGTCCACATGGTTTCTCTGTCACGCACTCGTCTACGTCTGTAATTTAAATACATATAATATCGCCTATTTATTAGTTTATCTTATTATGTTTTCAAGAATAAATCATTTTAACCCTCTCGTTACACTAGCGACCCATATAATACTAGTTATCTATGTAAAGCCCTCGACTGACTCATATAGGGATCAACGATACTTATATATATGAATCAATTTTATTTTTTTCTCCAACTTTATATTAATTTTTGTCGTCTAAAAATATAAATATATAAGAACTATATTTATGATATTAGAGTATCGTGGTGCCGTCATTTGAAAAAAATCTTTAATAATTATCCCGACTTAATATATATATTCTAGCTTAGCATATGCATACACACGTGTATGGATAGTAACACCTTCGGTTTGATTAGCACGTAAGAACGTGCATGTACTACAAACTCGTAGCAATTAATTTCGAAAAGGCGATTGCACGTCGAGGATTAGGGAACGTCCGGTATATATCCTCGTCGTCGTCGTCGTCGTCGTTCCTATCTCTAGCCAACCTTCGTAAATCTTTCTCTTTGGTCTCTAAGTAATTTTAATCGAGTGACAAACTTTTCCATTCCTACCAACGAATCGCGAACTAACGATCAACAAAAATAAGATGATCGTGTTACGTGAAACGTTGCCAGTTCCAGGAGTAATTAGAACGTTCGTGTAACCTATCGATAATCGGTCGTAAATCTATCGAAAACATATAGTCTATTCCAAAGGTAAAACACCATAGTAACTGCATGTATGTTCAACGTATAGGGTGGTTCATATCATTTCAATTAATATATCATTTTTTTGTTTGTTTTAGATTTAAAAATTGCACGCGTTATTTTTTTCAATGAAAATATATTTATTTTTATACAAGTTGCTATGATTTTATTTGTAAAAATAGTTAGGAGATTATAGGTAAATGCATACGCGTTATTTCCATTGGATTAATTTTTATGAATTGTATTTATTGTTATTTTCATAATTTTTCTTATGTTTTTTATTTTTTTATTTTTTCTTAATATAAACAAAAATATCTAAATAATTTTTACGGTATAGATCACCCTGTAGATAGATAAATAGGTTTCTTATTGGCTATATGTGTATACACTCCAAGCGTAAATGCTATCGAACGGAATATCGCACCGCGTCGATTTAATTACGTTCAACAATTCCTGGTTACACCAAGCGTAATCGTTGTTTGCTATCGATACACTCCAGATACTTCATGATTTAACGACCCGTATTCGTCAGTCGAGTCATTATCGGGAACTTTGTAAGGCGCTTTTACTACTAGTTACCTTAGAAGGATATCAAAACTTTACAGGACTCGTGTAGTTAAAAAGCTACAGATATTTCTAATCTAATTTAAATATAGATATACCTAACTTATAGTTTATTTTAATATTTATTTCTACACGCATTAGAATATTTTTGATTTCAATGAAAAACATTGACTTACCCGACTGGCATTGGCTACCGGTAAAACCTTTCGGACAAATACACTTCCCTGGAGAAATACAGGTTCCACCGTTCAAACATAACGCTGCACAGGTTGCTAAAAAATAAATTATTCTAAATATTTCTTCTTTTAATATATATTAGTATATTGTGTGTAGATGCGTGAGCGTGTAAAAAAAAAAAATATATATAGAAAAAAAGAATCTCACGTTTATTGCAACCAAAACTGAGACGAGTAAATTGCATCCAACCTGGACAGCACATAAAACCGGGCGACACTTCTGTGTAGACTAACCTAAAGTATAAATTGACTTATTTGGAGTAATCTAATATGGAAAAAAAAAAAAAATAAATCTCAATAGATCGATTCAGAAGATAATCAAATTTACCTGATCTGTCTTCCGCGATGATGGTAAGGGGAAGAAGAAGAAGTAGTTTGTCGTGCACATACTCGCCTTCTAAAAAAAACAACACACGATAACACTTCGATTGAAAATAGCTTTTGAAAATTGAGAAAGATGGAACAAAAAAAATATATATCCGATCGAAAGAGAAAAAAAAAGAAATAGAATGAGATAGAGGGGTGGGGCCGGAGGGAGGAAGTTTTAAACTCAACGATGGGATAGATCTGTACGCATGATCTGAAAATAAATCGCTCGTGTTCGGTACGACACGTAACGAGTTCTTGTTGCTTTTTAAAAGAAGGCCGCATCTTTCACGTCGAGAAAACGAATATCAGATGGCTTTGCATTCATTACCACGCCTCGATTCGCCATTACCTTTGCAAGCAAACCCTTTTTTCGAATATAAGATGAGAAAAATAAAAGTTAAATATATATAAGTCGTGTATTAAATGAAATTAATATTTAAATATTAACAGCACGAAACAATGTTACCTTGATTTTACCGCAGATGAGCTTGGCAAGTTGGTATAATTAAAAATAGGGAATTGCACGGTAGTCGGTTGAACGCGGTTATGGTGACAGTGGTTAAGAGAAGCGATAGATCTGCGTTCCATGCGGTATTCGCATAGTTTCAAGATAGAATGATGCAGAGATGACTGAGAGAGACAGTGACGGAATATTGCGGTATAGTATCGTACTGAAATATTCAATTAATTTTACATAAATATACTATTTAGAGAAATTTGTTATATATATATATATATATTTGAGTTTTTTGTTGAGTTAATAATTGGAAATACATTTTTGTATTTTGTAGTCTTTAAATCTATTTTTTTTTTTTTTTAACTAATTGCAACTTATATGTTATAACAGTCATACGCAAATTATTTATGCTCTTAAAAATGAATTTTACACCCATGCCTGAATATTTAAAGAAAATACAAAATAAAGAGAGTAATAATTATATTTTCAAATCACATAAGTAACCAAAAATAGATTTTTCCTGTTAAATTTAATTCTGATTCTTGACAAAAATATATGCAAAAAGGATTTGCTACATTTTCCTATAGTTTGCGAATAACTGTTATAACGCGGATAGGAATATAACACGTGAAAGTACTTACATATGTATATATATATAGATAATATGAATATATACATAAAGATCATATATAATTTTGTACGAAGAGGTGGACTTGGTGGAACCTCTTCGTCATCATCAGGGCGCAGAAAATTGCGTTTTGCCGTGTCGCTGTCATGTTTACTGAAACGCGACACGACATTAACTGTCCCAACAACGTATCCCCTGATCCGCACGATGCACATGCATTCCATCCCATATTTTCCGACTCATGATCCTTTTCCTTCCCGAGGAAGAAAATAAGAGGACAAGGTTTCTTTAAAGGGTAAAAAAGAGACGTACTACGGACACATAGAGACACACACACACCAAACAAAGAAACTAGACTCGGCCGATTAAACTTTGCTAGCGGGCACGAGAGTACAATTAAAACGCCTTCTAACTTCCAAAAAGAGAAAGAAAGAAAGAAATAGAAAAACAAAGAGAGGGACAATACATTCGAATAGTACGACCCTTATCTTTTCCTTCATTTTTGTTACCCCTTTCTTTCTTTCTTTTACAAGCCTTGTTTCTTTCTATTGCCAGTCGTTGTTGTCAATGCCACAGGAGTAAAAAAAAAAAGAAGAAAATATTGAAAATGGTTCTAAAGAAATATTGAAATTTTTGGCATACTTTCTTTGTCGATGGTTTCATTGTATAGAATACTCTCATTTATTAGAGTGTTCAATTTGTATATAATAATATTTTCATAAATAAAAAGAAAAAGGATGAATATTATTAATCGTTAATGATTTAATATTTAAATTCCAATTGCATTAGATAAAAACAACTTTTTATCAAGGACAATTTTATCTCTCTTTAGATAGATAGATATTTTTGAATTTATGTAATATTTAATTTTTTATCGACTGACAGTAGTAAACGTAAACGTTTTAAAATTAATAATCCGTGTGATGGAAGTATACTGCGTATACTTTTAAGCAAAAGGGTTGGGTACGTTCTTTTAAAGAAGATAAATTTTCCTAGTTTTTCGAATTAATGGCCCGTAGAATATTCTTCATACAGTTACGATAGAATTATGCAGCATTTAAATTCTTGGGCCTTGATGCGTTCCAGGACGACTTCAAGGTCTCGTACGAGGTTAAGAAATGAAATACTTGTTGCTCGGAGAAAATGTCTCCGCGTGCATTTCTTCGACGCATTATTTTTCAATAGAAAGAATTGAAAGATGTAAAATATACATATATATATAACTTTTCTCTTTACTCGAACGATATATATAGCACACTTATTGATTTAAGTCTTGAACACGCTCGGTGAGTGTACTTTGGGTAAATATTAGAAAGTTTCGCTGTTTAAAAATGAGTCACTTCCAAGTAATGGAGGATATACAGGGTGAGTTATTTAACATGTTAACTTTCTAGGATTTCTGCTTATTATATTTTGTCTACGATAAGTTGGATACATTTCATTTGTATTTAAAAACACTTTTAAATTAATTGTCAACGCTTGACAATGCATCAGGAAATAATATAATATTTTGAAAGAAAAAATCATGATTATCGAATCTTATACAATCTTTCATAGGAGATATAATAGTAAATTCATTCGAGATATGCATAAAACTTAGTTCTTTTTGTGCCACTCTAGCATGTACTACATTTATTTTCTATTTTTCGGTGTTTCTTTTTTTTGTCAGAACAGTTAGTCCTGTTCTATTAACTTTCCCACATTACTACCGGAGTAAGCTATTTATCTAATTGAAATCTCGAGATATAAAATACGTCGGAGTTGTTCGGTTTTTTTTTTTTTCATTTCTTTCTTTAAATATTGTTTCTCCAATTGATGAAATCTAAACGATCGATGAAAACGCGATTATCGCTTACCGTCTTACGTAAAGATCGTTCCCGAGTAAAGTTCGATATAAGAAATAGTTGATTCGTTGAATAAACCGGTTTACGCGTTTAAGAAAAATCTGTTAGAACCGTCGCTCGCGACGCTTTTGGAAATCGATGAAGAGTTTTTTGATGTCGTTTAGAATTCTTTCAAAAGAAAAAAAGACAAAAAAAAAAAGATTCGTAGAGGCGTTTATAACACGTATCGACATATTCGATAAAAATTTTGAAATAGGCGAAAACAATCGTTTAAAGTTATATTTTTTATGTTCAACTTCCTGTGCGAGTACATGTTCCATCTTTCTATACGGATTTGTTCTATTTTAGTTCTTATATGTTTCGTTTCCATGTGAAATACTTAAGTATTTTACCGTATTTGTTTTAGGGATGACAATATTATTTAATATAACGAAGGAATAACTGTATATTTTCATAAAGTGAATGTGATATGCTTGCACATATCGACATTTAATTTAATTTTTCATAAATTTAACCACCGTTCTCGATTATTATGATATGTTGCTGCAGTAAAAGGTATATTGATATGGGATCTTCTTGAGTAACTATGATAGCCGTGTCGTGAATATTACAGTAATCGTTTAAAGTAGATGATTCTCTAGCTGAAAAAGATAAAGAAGAATATTTTCAAAAAATAAGAACGTTTTACGAGATAGTCCTGGCACTTTTACTCATTGCCAACGAGAGTACACTTTCACGCGTGTCTATGTATTGTAAAAAAATTAACAAATTAAAATAAAAAAAAAAAAAATTAGTTAAACGGATCTCTCGGAGACAGTTTGGATACGGTTCGGAGGACAATCGCGTGGGAATACTGGTTCAAGAACAACTCTCCGTTATACGGTACATCGCTCGTCAATGATAACACCATGTAAAAATATATAGGGTGATTGAAAAATATAATCGACAAATCTTCAAGGAAACAACCGCATAATTTATTTTATTTACGTAACCAATTAAATCCTACGAATTATATTTAAATTATATATAAATCGTAACGTATTAGTTAACCTCCGACATTCGGTTCCTTGCATGTGTCAGACGTATCATAGTTGTATCATAATTCGTATTAGATGTCACGTGACAGATTCGCATAAATCATATCATTGTTTATCTTTTTTTTTCTTTTTTTTCTTCACAAATGCAACGAAACGTTTCGATGATTTTCGTGTTAAATGATAGGGTATTTGTTGCAGCTATTATTTAAGGCAAGTTATTCCTACATGCATATAATCGCACGGTACTTTAAATTTCTTTTTCTTTTTCTTTTTCTTTTTTTTTTCTTTTTTCTTTTCACGAGTAACAGAGAAAAGGTACTCTCGTGACAACGAGTAAAATAAAATGGACTAACGAATTTAGTGCCAATTTTAAAATTAATTGTGGAAATCTTTTTGGAATATTACTTTTTATTAAAACATTCGTAAAAAAAAAAAAAAAACAAAAATATGTAGAGACGAAGAAGAAGAAAAAGAAAAAGGGAAAAATCATTCTTCATTGTTTGGGGAATAATTTTAACGTCATGGACCGTGAAAGAAAAGGACACGTATAATAATTCATATTTCATTGTCATGAAAATTTGTCGTTGAAAACGTAAAAAGGATTGTCTTTGTACGTGACGGTAGATAATATTAAATACGTATCGTGTTTCTTAATATTATCTTTAAAAAAAGATTTCCGTGGCGTGCGAGACCGAGGGCGTCGAAAGACTAAACTGAAAAAAAAGAAGAAAAAAAAAAAAGAGAAAGAGAGAGAGAGAGGAAAAGAAAAAAAGAGGAGAAAAGATAAAGAAGGTATAAGACATCGGTAATAAAATTAGCAACGTCGTACGATAGGAAAGAAGCAAGAAAGAGAAGAAAGGGACAGGGAACGTCCCTTTGCGTGATCCGGCTTGGAGCCTTCTCCAGGGTGATAAATTTCCGATGAGTTATCGCATTGGTTGCTCGCGTGTCTACGGCTCTCTTAAGCACTTCCGAAATCTCAACGGTTATCTTCGAGAAAGATTTCACCTCGAGTATCTTTAACGCATTACGATAGACGGAGACAACACCGGCTTCTTTGAA